GGGTTTATCATGTGTGAATCACTGGCACTGGTACCTAATGCCAAACAAAAAACTCCCAAACCTCCCACCTCAAACTATTAAGTGTTGGGCAAGATATTTAGCAACACTGAAAGTTCTGAAAGTATATCTTACTTTGGCTTAGGATACCTATGGAAAATGAACTTGAAGCTCTAATACTTTGGCCACCTGATGCAAAGAGCTGACTCATTAGAAAAGACCCTGATGCTGGGAAAGATTGAAGGCCAGGAGGAGAAGAGGACGACAGAGGATGAGATGGTGGGATGGCACCACCGACTTGATGGACATGAGTTTGAGCAAGCTCCGGGAGTTGTTGGTGGACAGAGAAGCATGGCGTGCTGCAGGCCACGGGGCCACAAAGAGGCAGACACGACTGAGTGACTGAACTGAGCTAAGTAATGTGATGTGAATATGTTACGGCATAGGACTTTGTATGTGACAAAATATTTTTTAACCATAAAATCCAACCCTAGCATGGCAGCTTAGTCACACTGTGTCTGTTGTGCCGAACTGTAGCCACGGAGCAAGCAGCTCCTGACCCTGGGCGACTTTTGCAACGTGCACACCTCGAGCCTGTGGGCCACCCCAGCCAACACTGGGCTAGAGTCGGTGGGGGATGAGGACGCGGAAGGAGTGAGGGCGCTGGGGATGGCCGGGTAACACAGATTTGATTTTGGTTCAGGAAGATAGGAAATTAGTGTTTCTGAAGCAGAAAAGTGAGCTGGAAGAAATGCCATGAACATGCAAGAAACGTCAGCTGCTTACCTCATTGAAACAAGATTGGTTGAACATAGTGATCATTAGAGTGTTCTAACGGACTCACTGTGGAGGCAGCATAGTGAATCTGAGTTGTTGAGAAACTACCTTTTAGTTTACTATTCACATATTGTTGTCCCAACCCCTGCCAGAAAAAAAGGGCGGAATTTGCTTGGCATATACTCTCTGCTGACAATGGACCTGAATTTGTGGACAGACATGGAATCAATTTAGAAAACTTCCTCTTCAGAATTGGTTCACATCCCATCCTTTATAGAGACAGGCTCTTCTGTTTTTAACAGAGGGCTGTAACTGGAAGGAGACTGTAAATGTAACTGGATTTCAGCTGAAAGCAGACTCAGGTTGAAAATGCTTTAATGCAACATTCAGAGTGAAAAACCCAGACAAGAGATTTACTGAATTAAAGCACTGCAGTGATGAACTACAGTCTGTCATCTGATATCTTCTTTGAGTCACAGCTAGAGTAGTAGATTGACTGCATAGTGTATATAAAGTGGGAAATTATGGGCAGGTTTTCAGTGAGTGACATGCCACAGTAAAAGAAATGGGTGATGGACTGCAGAGTGCTGGTCATCACATGGATGTGCATGCATCTTCTGTTGATGATATTTTGGAAAATAGGAACATTATGCAGATCAGTTAAAGGAGTATCCTTTTCATACAGAAGCGCTGCAGGTGTGTGCACGAAACCTGACTTAGATAGTATGACTTGGAGATGGCTGCTAAGGACTTAGCATCCAAGAAGCAGCAACATGAGGAACTTGCTGCCGGGACCTTGAGAACATTTTCTTTGAAGGGAATGACTACCAAGCTCTTTGGTCAAGAAACTCCAGAGCAAAGAGAAGCCAGAATAAAGATGCTAGGAGAACAAATAAGTGAAGGAGAGCAACAACTTAAGTCTAAAAATCTGGAAAGAGAGAATTTGTCTTGGGTTGATATTTAATGCTTGGGCTGATATTGAATGCTTCAAAGAACAAAAGAACTGTGATTTAAAGGAGGCCTTCCTAAGCTTTGCAGTCGTGGAGATCAGTATGTGTAAAAATGGAATTCATGTTTGGACCAGTGTTAAAGAATGCTTTAGCAAGATGTAGTCCTGTGAAATGAATTTCTCTTCAATTGAAGTACCCCAAAACAGAAGCCCAAGTTAATTAAAAAAGAAAATTCAAGTTGTTACCCAGCATACACAAAAATACATAGTAAGTTGAGAAATTCAACTTTCTTTGATTTGGCTGTAGTTGTATTAACATAGCCCAGAAGGATGTGTTTTAATGAAGATTAAATATTCTGATCTGAGGTTTGGGGGACTGTTGCTGATTCTAAAATGTTGATTAGATAAAATAGCCAACAGATTGTCACTTCTGAACCAGTGGCTGAATATCAAGGTATTAGGTCATTTCCAGATGTTCATTTCAGTGCCTGCTGCTTCAGATCTGCTCATGTGGGGAGTTTTTTCCCCTAAGATTAAATTCTTATCTTGATTTGGTAAGACCCACTAATCTCTCATAAGGGGTTAGTTTTTCTTGCCTTATAGTTGAGCTGTTTGGTTTGATAAAGCTCAGCTGAAACTTAGTGTAAAATCTTAAGTTATTTCTCCCACGTTCTTTAATGCCTCCAAACATTACATGCATTAAGGCAGTGCCTTCAATGTATATTTTACCAGGATTTTGATACAGATAAAAAATTTTATACTCACAACAAAGAAGACTCACCTTTTTAGATGTATAGTGGAATAATACATTGTTAGGATCTGGGAATTGCTATATAGAAAGTTTTGAGTATGTTAAATATAAGCATTAAATCCTCAAATAATTCTTAGCCTCATTGATGAGCCTAAATTTACTCTGCTTGGCCCTCTGCACATGGTATTTCAGGGTACAAGATGTAGCATTTCAATGTATAATATATATGTAGTGAACATATGTGTTAGGATCTTTATTATGAACATCCATTTTTATTGCTTGGCAGTAATTTTTATAAAGATAAATTATATTGCTTTTGTATGTGTGTTTTTGTGGGATATATTCAGAAGCCAAGAATCTTTGGTATGTTGCTAGCTTTGCAGAACCCTTTGTGTGTACTCATTATTACTAATTATGTAAAAAAATTTTTTCAGTAGTTTAGCGTTTGACTTTTTTATGTTTGAAATGTTGCTGAATTTTTTGCTGTTTGCCAAACTTATGAAATAAATAAATGTGTTGATTTAAAAAAAAATTCCAACTCTAGTGGATTTTAGATTTTTTTTTAAATGAATTGGAAAAGAACAGCTTCCTGTGTCCTTTTCCCAGGGTTTTTTTTTTTTTTTTTTAATTTTCTGTTTGTTTTTTACATGCTAGCTTTATTACCTAGATTTTCTGATATGGTGGAAGACTTTTCCTTTTAAACATTATGGTTGCTGTCATGTAGGAATAATTCTTCAGAGTTTATTTTCTGCTGTTTTAAGTTACTTTCAAATGAGAGTTTTTCAAGTGTATAGATTTAATAATGATTGAATAGAAGGATTCATTTAAAAGATTTTGCTTCCTTCTTCACTAGAGATAGCTTATAATGTTTTATTTTGTTTTGTTTTTGCTCTTTAACTTTCTCTTCAAAACAGGTACCAAAAAGAGGTATACATTAAAAAAAAAATCTGTTTCTAATTGTTTAAAGAGCTTTTTAGTGTTATTAATAAGTAATATTATAATAAAGATATAGCTTATATCTTTTAAATTTTATGTATGGGTAGGGCTTTGAAGTAAGATGTTTACTCTTACTCGTTGGCCATGGAAACACTCAATGTAGACACATTGTGATTATTTTCCAGTAAATATTACAGATGGAAATCCAGTTTTTTGGTGAATTGAATAAGGTATTGAAGGAGGTCAGGGCCTTACACATCTAGAAGACCTAGTTTTAAGTTCCAGTTTAGCATTTATTGATAACTGTGTATAAGTCAGTAACCTATTGACATTCAGTTTTTTGGTTTATAAGTTTGTGATGATAAAGTCTACCTAGCTACTTTTATGGAATTCCATTTAATTAAAATACCTTATTTTTGGTTTGCGTATATGTACTTTATAAACAGTAGTATACGATAACTTGGGTTTTTTAATTTTTTTTTTTCTACTTATAGTTTTACTATAGCAAAAGAATACAGATTAGAAAAAAGGAAGATACACACGGGGAAAGACTTGGAATGTCCCATAGATAGAGCTTCTAGTTGTTCTTTCTCTGTGGAGTCCAGGCCCATCACCTCCCCCTGGCGACATACTCAAAACATACTGCCAGCTCAGTAGCTTGCCTGATCTTCAGTCTCTAGATTTTTATTGAGGCTTCATTTCATGAACAGTATTTGTTATATTGTTGCCCATGTGGTTGAACTCAGTTTCCAACTTCCTTTCCCAGAGCTTGAGTTGGTGTGTCTTTACCCAAAGCTCTATTAAACCTTTAAGGGTGTGTCTTTTTGGCACTGCTAGCCAACATGGGGATTTTTACTGCCACTGTCATCCAGGGGAGGTATGTTTAGAAGGAGTGATACGACTTTACAGAAGTAAGAGATAGAGATGAAATTGAACTACCAAGCATTACACTAGATGCTTTCAGGTCTGTTACCTGTCTTGAGTCTCACAACTGCTTTATTTAAGCATGAATATAATGTTAGTAACCCCTATTTTGTAAATGAAAAAACCAAGACTCACAGTACCATAAGATAGGTATATAAAATCACCTACCCTCCCTAATGATGAAACTGCTATTCAAACCCAGCCATAGCATATCTGGACTTTTCTCTTGTATTAATTAGGAATTTACCTTGATGAAATTTTGTCATTATTTATTTCATTGAATATAATTAAAGATATAAAGTTGAACTCAGTGTAATGTCTATATATTCTCAATATAATGTCAACATTCTATATAATGTCTATATACACTATATACAATTTGTAAATTGTATATAGTGTATTAGTTACCAGTGTCTTTTGTTTCATTCATTAGATGAGTTTCTAAAGCTTTATATATGAAATTATGAGTCATGTCTAGTCTATATGTCCCAAACAAAAGGCAACTTAAAGAAATTTTGTTTATTTTTGAAAAAGAATGTACTTGTTCTTTATGTAAATTTGAAGGCTTGTATGATTTTAAGCATTAAGTGGGATATACTTCCTGATGTATTTGAAATTTAAAAACCCTTGAGAATTGTAACAGAACCTTTCTTTTGTTTTTACTAGGTATTAGACAAACCCAGTAGGCTAACTGAAAAGGAACTTTCTGAAGCTGCAAGCAAGTGGGCCGCTGAAAAGCTAGAGAAGGCAGATGAGAGTAACTTACCCGAAGTTTCGGAGTATGAGGTAAGGCATAATTTCTTCTTTATTTGTCTGGATTTTAAATTATAGATGAAATTTTGGTTTCTTCTAGTGTTTTAAAATGTATTTGGGGAAAATGTCCTCATGAATTACTAAATTTTACCACAGATAGTAATAAAATGAATATGAATTACTCTGAATTCAGTAATTTTACTATGTCTGAATGTCTCTTGTAGTTTAGAAGTGTAAGAATGGTATAAATGTGGAGTATTAGGAAGATGCAGTATTTATATATGCTGCTTTTATGAGCTTTTAAAAGTATTTCTAGAAATGCTAAGCCACCAGTCATAAATCGGTGAATTTAGAACAAAAATCTAATTAAACCTTGGATCTGGGTTATATTTATATTGCATGCTATACTCTATGCAAATTTTTTCATATATGTCCCAAGAAATGCAATTATGCATTGTTTGGTCTACCTGTGATTTTTTATGAATCTTGAGTACCAAAAAATGGGAACATTTTTGGGTCCACAGAATATGCTTTATAAAATGTTTGCATTAAAATGTTTGAAAATGTACTGAAAATTTTTTCTGTAACCTGTAAAAGAAACACAGATATTTTGTGGGCAAAGTGAATCTTCTAGATTCAGGATTTGTTACTAGAGAAATTATTTTGACATGGCAGAGAATATAAAAATCTCTGTACCGTGATAGATTATATTTGGAAGAGATTTCTGACTTTATGTTTCTGAATGCCTTTTAAGAAAGGTCCTCTGATAAAAGAGATGAAATGTTGGAGCTCAGTGTGTAAATCACATACCCGCGTGCATCTTAGTACTGTGGAAGGACCTTTCCAAAGGAACTAATATACACTGCTCATGGAAAGTACAGATCAGTACAAACCCTGTCAGTGCTTACAGAAATAGAGCCTTTCTCTTTTAAAATGCTGACGTGTCCTTGTCATTTAGCTATCAGTTTTTCTTACATAGGCCACAGTTTCCTTATTACTGTAGAGATAGTAACAGATATTTATGCATATTCTCAAGTAAAGGTATCAAAAATATCAAGCTGTTTCTCTTTGGTACCTCTCTAGTGCTATTTCTTATTTTTTTTCTTTTAATTGGAGGCTAATTACTTTACAATATTGTAGTGGTTTTTGCCATACATTGACATGTGTCCCCCATCCTGACCCTCCCACCCACCTCCCACCCCATCCCATCCCTCAGGGTCATCCCAGTGCCCCAGCCTTGAGTGCCCTGTCTTATCCATCAAACCTGGACTGTCGGTCTGTTTCACATATGGTAATATACATGTTTCAATGCTATTCTCTCAAATCATCCCACCCTCGCCTTCTCCCACAGAGTCCAAAAGTCTGTTCTTTACATCTGTGTCTCTTTTGCTGTCTTGGATACAGAGTCATCATTACCATCTTTCTAAATTCCATATATATGTGTTAATGTACTGTATTGGTGTTTTTCTTTCTGACTTACTTCATTCTGTTTAATAGGCTCCAGCTCCATCCACCTCATTAGAACTGATTCAAATGCATTCTTTTTAATAGCTGAGTAATAGTCCATTGTGTATATGTACCACAGCTTTCTTATCCATTTGTCTGCCGATGGATGTTTTGGTTGTTTCCATGTCCTAGCTATTGTAAACAGTGCTGTGATGAACATTGGGGTACACGTGTCTCTTTGAATTCTGGTTTCCTCTGTATATATGCCCAGTAGTGGGGTTTCTGGATCGTATTGCAGTTCTATTTCCAGTTTTATAAGGAATGTCCACACTGTTCTCCATAGTGGTTTTACTAGTTTGCATTCCCACCAACAGTATAAGACGGTTCCCTTTTCTCCGCACCCTCTCCACCTTGTATTGTTTGTAGCCATTCTGACCAGCGTGAGATGGTACCTCATTGTGGTTTTGATTTGCATTTCTCTGATAATGAGTGATGTTGAGCATTTTTTCGTGTGTTTGTTAGCCATCTGTATGTCTTCTTTGGAGACATGTCTGTTTAGTTCTTTGGCCCATTTTTTGATTGGGTTGTTTATTTTTCTGGAATTGAGCTGCATAAGCTGTCTAGCACTGTTTCAATGCATGAAGAGTATTACATTTAATAGGGTCATTTAACTATTTTCCTTAAGAATTTAGAGTAATAGTTTTTATATTAATAATACAAGTATGTACTTTAAAGTTGCTGATTTTGATGTCTGATAATTTTTCTCAGAGTAATTAAACCAAAAGCTTCCAAAAAATACTTAATTTTTTGTTTGCTATTGTATCTTCAGTTATTCTTCTTGTTGAATCACTAAGTCATATATGACTCTTCTGCGATCCCGTGAACTATAGCTTACGAGGCTCCTCAGTGTGTGACATTTTCCAGGCAAAATTCTAGAGTGTATGGCCATTTTCTTCTCTATGGGATTATCTCAATAGGATCAAACCCATGTCTCCTGCATTGGCAAGCAGATTCTTTATCACTGAGTCACCAGGAAAGCCCACATATCCTCAGTTAGAAAAGCTTTTATTAAGATTATTCATTCTCCCTCCTTGTCATTTTGATATCTCTTAATTTAAAAAATCAAATCCCACTGGCCTTCAAAGTCAAATTCCCTGGGGGTTCTCAGTCCCTTTGCTGGATCCCCAGTTTGGGAAATCTGTTGTGGGCCCTAGAACTTTCACAACAGTGCGCAAACCTCTTTGGCATAATTGTTCTCCAGTTTGTGGATTGTCTGCTTGGTGGCTCTGTGGTGGGGTTCATATGCCGCACCTCCCAGGTCTGCTGTAGCCAGAGCCCCTGTCCCCGCAGCAGGCCACAGCTGACCTGTGCCTCTGCAGGAGACATCCAAACACACAAAGGCAGGTCTGGCTCAGTCTCTTGTGGAGCCCAGAATCACTGCAGATGGTGACTGCAGCCATGAAATTAAAAGACATTTGCTCCTTGGAAGAAAAACTTTGACAAAACTAGACAGCATATTAAAAAGCAGAGACATTACTTTACTGACAAAAGTCCATACAGGCAAAGCTATGGTTTTTCCAGTAGTTGTGTATGCTGTGAGAGTTAGACCATAAACAAGGCTGCACAACGAAGAATTGATGATTTTGAACTGTGGTATTGGAGAAGACTTTTGAGAGTCCCTTGGATAGCACGGAGATCACGCCAGTCAATCCTAAAGGAAATCAGTCCTGAATATTCATTGGAAGGACTGATGCTGAAGCTGAAGCTCCAATACTTTGGCCACTTGACTGGAAGAACTGACTCATTGGAAAAGACCCTGATGCTGGGAAAGATTGAAGGCAGGAAGAAAAGGATGACCGAGGATGAGGTGGTTGAATGGCATCACCGACTCAATGGACGTGAGTTTGAGTAACCTCCAGGAGAAGCCTGGCGTGCTGCAGTCCATGGGGTCGCAAAGAGTTGGACACGACTGAGCAACTGAATTGAACTGAACTGAAATTTTAAAAAATCTTACTATCCATCTTTTCCAGTTTTTTATTATTCTGTTTATAGTCTTTTTTCATTTCTTGACTGAATCTCGACTCTGAATAGTCAGTGACATTGGGTCTTGAAAGATGTTTTTCCAGCACTCTTGTTTTTTCTCTGTAATGTGCCCAGAATTTGCTAGATTTTGAGTGAATGAGAAGTCAGGAATCCTAAAATCTGTGTGTGGAGTCGTAGGTCAGAGATGATTTTCTGTTGGAGCAAAGGCAAGGTAAGAGTACTGTTGAAATTACTATAGTATGTTTGTTAGTTGGTGTACGTCATTAGTGTTCAGCAGCAGCTCCAGTCTTGTAGCATTGTCTGAAATGCCCTTCAAGTTTTGTTGATAGTCTTCCATACTGGAGAACAGGCATTTGGGAAATTCTTAGGATACTCTGTCTTTTGGGCAAGGATAGTCACATTTGTTTTTAGGCAGTTGTTAAATGGTTGCTCATTTCAGTGATCCATGTGTTTTTGTTGTTTTTTTTTTTTTGAGATACAGACTTTTTAAGACTGTTGGCCTTGGTTCTATAAACTCCTATCTGATTTGAGGTGGAAAGACCTTGATGCTAGGGAAGAGTTTTGCATAGTCCTCTCTGTTTGTGTGTTTAGTGACAGTCTTTATATAACTGTCAAGAGAGGGGATTAAATATTTAGGTTTCCAGTTTGTCTTCTCTTGCTGTCATCAATATAGTTTTAAACAAGTTGGTTGGGAGACCATGTAATTTATAGATAGTCAGTGAAGTTGAAGATAAATTCAGTGCTGTGCTTAAATATCAGGAATATTAGAGTTCACTATTCTGTTCAGATTTTTACTTTTACCTTTTGGACTCTAATAGGGAATTTCTGAAAGCATTTGATAGAATGATAGTGCTATCAATAATGTGCTCATGGGTTATCTGTGACAAAAGAATAACTGATAATGTTTGCATAATTTATCAAAATTTTGACTTTAAATTTTTGCAGAGTGCACATTTTAGGATTATGTTTTAAAGCATGTATGTTCAGGGACACTATATATACTATATATACAAAACTATATATACAAAATAATACTCTACTGGCTTTCTCATAGTTTTTCACTAAATAGTCTATCTGCATCCATTTGTATCAAACAGTGCATTAGAGGCACCATCCTGGCTTTCAAAGAGCTTTCAGTCAAATTTGGTAGGGATATAATTTACTGTCCATAAGCATGTGGCCATGAGAGCTTCCTTTTGGCTATCAAAATGAAAATCAAATTATTCAAAGGTTATTAGAACGTCACAGTAGAACAAGTTGCTTCTTGCTGCAGAAGAAGATTTTAACACGTTTCTTGCTTAAATATGAAAGTGTGAATTATGTTGTTTCCACATGTCAGGTGTTATTTTCCACTTACCCTGTCCCTAAAGTACGCCCAGTGTCCATGGCTGTCTTTTAAACTCAGATCTAGTCGGTGAAATCAGTAGGGCTTGAGATAATAAGATGCAATATCTTTCTTGATTCCGATTTTCTTCCCTGCTGTCTGTGCTTAGTTGTGTCTGACTCTCTGTAACCCTGTGGACTGTAATGTTTCTTCTGTCTCAAGCTTTGGCAGGTGGATTTTTTTTAACCACTGTGGCACCTGGGAAGCCCATTCTTCCCTTGCTATTGTAAAATTTTTTGCCACTATTTCACTGATGACCTTATATTGCCTTTATTAAAAGTTTTTTTTCTTTTACCAGTCTGGTTATCTAGATAGAGAGGTAGAATACTCATGTCTTGTTTTCCCTCCAGTACCTTGCAAAATATATATCTAATGAACTAGACTGAATTTAATTACTAATAAGCACTTTTCTCAGAGAAGGCAATGGCAGCCCACTCCAGTACTCTTGCCTGGAAAATCCCATGGACGGAGGAGCCTGGTGGGCTGCAGTCCATGGGGCTGCTAAGAGTCGGACACAACTGAGCCACTTCACCTTCACTTTTACTTTCCTGCATTGGAGAAGGAAATGGCAACCCACTCCAGTGTTCTTGCCTGGAGAATCCCAGGGACGGGGGAGCCTGGTGGGCTGCAGTCCATGGGGCTGCTAAGAGTCGGACACAACTGAGCCACTTCACCTTCACTTTTACTTTCCTGCATTGGAGAAGGAAATGGCAACCCACTCCAGTGTTCTTGCCTGGAGAATCCCAGGGACGGGGGAGCCTGGTGGGCTGCCGTCTATGGGGTCGCACAGAGTCGGACACAACTGAAGCGACTTAGCAGCAGCAGCAGCACATTTTTGTTGTAATCATTGATCTTCTTAGCTCTGAAGAAAGTTTTTGTCCAGTATATCTTCCATTAGGTCTTTTTCTTGGGTAGTTTCTGTTGATTAATTCTTTGAATAAACCATACTTTGCTGTTTCTTTGTATAATTTTTTTGGTGCACTTTGGGTGTTTGATTCTAACAGTGTGGTAGCTCTGAGAGTCATATTCTCCCTCTTTTCTAGGGCTTGCTGGGGTTTTTTCAGTTGTTGTTGTTACTGTTTTTTATTGTTGGCCACTGTTTCTGTACTGAGGATCAGCCTGAGGTGAAAACTTTTAAAGTCTTCTTAGTTCTTTCTGAGCTTTTCCCTTGGTATACCCAGTTACTTTTTGTCTTCACCCATGTATACAGTTATTTTTAAATAAACATCCTTATCTTTAATGTCTTGCTCCCAAAAGAAGAAACATGAAAAATGAAGGTGGGGTGGCGGGTGCTTGGCCTTTAATACCCTGGAAGTCACTTCAGCCGAAGTAAGGGGGGCTTGCAGCAGTGGGGGAGGTACAGTGACAACGGCTGTTCACCTCTTTGTCTGCACCTCTTGATCAGAAGCAGGGATCGGTGATTGGAGCACAGTTAGTTTCCTGCTCTTCAGAGGATGGGGTGCTTTTTGCCCAACCTGACTCCCATAGGCTATGAGTAAGCTGCTCTAGGAACATGTACACAGCTCCCTGCCAAGTGGCTCAGAGTGGGACATGGCCAGCTGCTGCTGTGCTGAGAGCTGAATGTAATCTCAGTTTATCTTCCTCTGCATGGGACAAGGCTTCAGCAGAGTCCCAAGTTGCATAGTTCTTAAATCAGACAAATTCTGCCACTGTAGTTTTTGTGTAGGTTCGGAGACAGATTGCTAGTGCTTTCTACTCTGCTATCTTCCCAGAATCCTTGCCCTTTAAATGATTCATATACTTCAAATTTAAATCCCTTAAGATATGTAACTCAGACTTGTAAAAACCAGGTTTTTTAAAAAAGTAGATTACGCATACATGTGTCAGAAATTCAAATGACTTTGGAATAGGTACAGTTTCTTCTAAGTTATTCCTACTGAGACAGTCTCTTGTGTCATTTTTTTCCTCAGAGATAATATCCTTATGGAAATAGTTTGTTCATATAAATGCATAGACACCCATATTTTTTTCTTCCCTTTTGTTTTTGACATAATTGGCCGTGTATTTATGGGGAATGACCTTTAGGCCTTGCCAGGAGAAAAGTTAGGATACATTATGTAATATATATAGACTGTTTTTTAATGATGATTTCTTAGTATTCCTTGGTTCTAGACAGTGCATACTTTATTTGATGAACATTTAGATTGTTTTCAACCACTTGCTATTGATGGCAGCCATATCATAGCATTTATTGCACATGTTTTATCTACAAATTAAGTTTATCTATAAATTAAGCTGAGTGCAAAGGATATGTGGTACATTCTGATAAATACTGCCAAATTAATCTCTAAAGAGGTTGTGGCAGTGTACAACACACTAGGCATTGAAATGTGACTGCTCTTACTGATGAAAAATACCACTAATTATTATATATCTTGTGCCTTCTTTAAACCTACTGCTGTTTGTTGCTACTTCAGTTACAACAACCATAAATTATAATAAGTACAAGTTTCTTAAAAAAAAAAAAAAGCAAGTTTCTTATTTTCTCCCTCGCCTCCTACCCAACAAAAATATATTAGCTCAGACTTTACACTTTGCAAATTGCTGCTTACTGCAACCTCCATGAAGGCAAGAACTTTTGTCTATTCCATTCATTGATATATCCAGTGTTCATTGAGCTGTGTTTGGCATTTATCATAGAATAAATTTTCATTCCCTAATAGTTTTCCTTCATTTATTTAGTTTTTCTCTTTTCAACAAAGGTATTTTTAGACAGTAAAATAATTGACCTTGGGCTTTTTGTGGGATTATTTACTCATTAATGAACTGTTGCAATATTGTTGAAGTAATTATTACTGCTGGTTGGAGTTGTTTTCAGTTAATCAATAATTCTTAGACTACAGGAGGAATGGTATTTTTAACTTCTGGAAGTAGAGCCCTTTTCCATGTTCCTGTTTATTTTATTTGTTTATGTTTGTTCACACTTCTGTCTTCCAGTTGAACTTTGTTCTTCTGTGTTTCTTAAATAAGTTGCTTAAGAAATAATTATAGGACAGAACCTTCTAGCTCTGTCTTAATATAGTATGAAATATAATTTTGGAATGGAATAAGCCTAGAGGCTTTGTCCTATGTAAAATTTTAAAAGTAGCCATAATTTCCTCTTTAATCCTCCTCACATATCTTCATTATGTATGTGTGTGCTCAGTCCGGTCCAACTCTTTGTGACCCCATGGCCTGTAGCCTGCCAGGCTCCTTGTCCATGGAATTTTCCCAGCAAGAGTACTGGTATGGGTTACCATTTGCTACTCCAGGGAGTCTTCCTGAGCCAGGGATCGAACCCACATCTCTTGCATCTTTAGCATTGGCAGGCAGATTTTTTTACCTCTGTACCACCTGGAAAGCTCTCATATGTTCATTATGCATAACAAAATTAAAAGTGTTTCTTTTCTTATAACACATCAAATTTAGTGCTTTTTCTTGAGATAATCTGCCAGTTAGTGCTTATATGTAGTCATCTAAAATGCTATATGTCCTTTAAGAAAGTAACGAAGGATTTCTGATTTCTTCTAAAGGCGGGATCCACAGCACCATTGTTCATTGACCATCCAGTAGAACCTGAGTCAAATGCAACAGATGGCATAGAATTGTTCGAAGACAGTCAGCTAACCAGTCGCTCTAAAGCAATAGCAACAAAAACCAAAGAGATTGAACAGGTGAGAATCCTGTCTGCTAAAGTACAAAAGCTTTTGTTCATTTTGTACATAATAGTTACAGTAAATATTTATTGAATAAATATGTTTCATTTTATCTTTTTTCATTTATGACCCTGAATTTAAAACATTCTAAAAAGTGTTCAATTTGATTTCACTGTAATTGTGATCAGTTTTGTTTCCCACCCCTGCTTACTTTTTTTCTTTTAATAAAAAGCAAGCTTCTATTTTAGAGAATATTCTAGTTAGTGTGAAACAATTAAAAAACTACTAAGCTCAGTAGAAGTGAGTTGAAAGAAATACTTAATATACCAAAATGTTAGCAAATGTTAGTTTTGAATACTGGGAATACAGATGTTTCTTAATGGTTTTCATTATACCTTTAATCATTTTTCAAATATTAAAGAAAAAATAAAGGATAGGTATTTAAATCTATTTTTTAATGATATCATTCTGAAAACTCAGGATCTTATTTTTAATAGATTGAATAGATTGCTTAAGGAATCATTATAGGATAAAACCCTCTATCTATGTCTTAATACAGTGTGAAATATAATTTTGGAATGGAATAAGCCTAGAGGCTTTGTCTTTCCTAAGATTTAAAATGTAGCAGCCCTTTCCTCTTTAATCCTCCTCACATATGCTCATTATGCATAGAAAAGTTGAAAGTGTTTCAGTATGGAAATATTACCTACCTTATAGGGTATTATCACTTTATGAGAATTAAATGTAGTAAATATAAAAGGACTTTATAAAATGTAACATGTTGTACAGCTGTTTGTTTTTGATGTTGTTACTCTCTAATGCCTTGAATAAATGTTATTATATTGTTATAGAATCTTCTAAGAACTATTGGAAATTAAGAACAAAATTAAACCTTTTTGCAAGGTGCTATTTCCACATCAATTAGAATCTATTTCTGTTGGTTAAATAGAAGATCTTATTTAAATCCTAGATATGATAGTGCAGCTTATGTTGATGCCAATCTAATGCAAAAGATAAGAACCTAGATAGGAAATTTGTCAGTAAGCCAATAGAGTTTCAAAACAGGATTGGTTAGCAATGTCAGATGCTTGGGAGGAGTATAGGAAAATGGAGACAGAAAATCCTGTTTAACTTGGCTATATGAAAGGTAGATTAGTACCTTTAAAGATATCAATTAAATGAGAGTAAAATAGTTTTCTCACTAGGTGAATCTTCCAGTATGAATATGTATATCATTATTATTGTCTTTTTACTCTCACTTATTTTCCTTTTTAGCTTTTCCCCCTCTGCCATTTGACATATGTTTGCTTGTCTCCTTTACCATATGGAAACTTCATGAAAGCAAGGGCTTTGTTTTAAGAGCATAACTGGTAGAAAAACTTGACTGACCTCCCTGTTGGAAGGGAGTATTGGGTTGTTGTTTATTAATCTTTGTGCTATCTTTTCTTGTTATTAATCATAGTTTGATCTTGACTAGTCAGAGGTAGAGCCTAGCTTAGCAGCACACAAAATTTAGTATGAAACCAGGTTTTTATATACTTTATAGATACCCATATATGTTTGACATGTAAGTATGACTATATTTCTGTTTTCATCTGCCCATTGTTCAAACACATGAAAAATCTGATACTGAAGCTTATTGTGAAAGGAGAGATGACCTAAAGAAAGAAAAATAAATCTAAAAGGTCATTACTATATTCTGATGCATTAGAAAAGTAAAACCATTATAAAATATAGAACTTAATGATATTAAATGTTGGAATGTAGCTACCATGTTTTGGCTGAGGTACTTTAGTTTTCATATATTGACAAGAAAATCAATCCAAAGTTCCTCAAAAATGTCACAAAGCTAGGAAATAATAATACATAATTATTTTACAAATCATGTCTTAACATTACAGTGAAAATGAAAAAAATTAGTTTTAAGGGGGTTTACTTCCCATTTTCTCCATTTCCAACTTTCGTACATTCATTTTTAGAGATTAAAGACCAGATGGATAGGAATATTTTAAAGGTTTTATATTTTCCATATGCTTGAAATACTGCATGATTTAAAATATGAATAATAGCCTCCCCCAAAAGGGCCTGCATAGATGAGGCCAACAAATCAAGCTTAGAATAATGTAGGAATGTAAATGTTGGTGTTATAGCAAAGTTGCTTTTTCTCCTTGTATGTCTAGTACAGTATGTTCACATATAAAGATATATATCCACATATAATTTTTTAAAGGCTATAAATTAGGTCCTTCAGCCCTTGAATCCCAAGAAAGTCATTCACTTGAGGCAGTATTGCAATATATAATAAGCTAAATCTTCAGACCAAAATTTAATTCAAAGGGCCTACAAATGTGGCTTATTTACTGTTCAAAGTCATGTATATGGAAATAGATTGGATCAGAATTACTTCAATAAGAGTGGATTTATGTTCTTTGCCATTTTATTGCTATCTCATTCTTGGGCATATAATAATTTGGTAGGATGGAGGTACAGGTGCCTTTTTAAAAAGCTTACAGCTGGTAATCATATGGCAGAGAATCACTGATCTAAAATCTTTGAGCCAGAAGACATCAGATTGCATCTCTGAATATTGTGTTGCTAGAGATCATTTGAATCATCTCACTTTCACATGAATATCTTTTAGTGAATATGATTCGTTCTCTTGTTCCAGCACATTTATCCTCCTTATGCTTTGGATTCTCTGGTATATCTTTTCCCCCTTATTTTTATTTCCCCTGATATCTCCTCTTACCCAATTTGGGCCACAGTTTACATTCAGTTATGGAAATACTTTCCTAGGCTTCCTGGCTTCTGAGCTTTGAGGGGCAAACTTCAGAACTACTTCTGTCATTATGGTAATTCCTAGAGAGATCTAACCTACAAAATTATAGATGATTCATATTCTGGTTCAAGTGTTTACAATTTCATTAACCTCTTGTCATATATCCCACAAGCCCTCACATACCGACTGTTACTGAACTGTTTGGTTTGAAAGTCCATCATCCTACTCCTTGCTTTATTACTAGTGAGGAATCTTGTCTTTTAACAAATTGTTATTTTGAATGAAGCACACAAATTGAAATCCCCTATTATTATATAACTTCTTTGCTCTATTGTACCTTTAGGGATAAAACAATATTTACTATTAACTCTTTGGATTTGCCTTATTTTAGATTTACAAAATCCCTCATATTTTGATAAAATTGTACTTAGACATAGCCCCTCAGTGAGATCCTCTGTTTTCTTGGGATCCTGGCATATAATATTTAAGTCTACTTGTAATCCCACTGGCAAGATCAGACTTAGTTTCTTCTATCTTCTTCTTTCTTCAGATGGAATCCAGTGAGTATACACACGTGTGTATATACATGCATACAGACAAAAAATGTGCGTGTACATGGTTGACCTAGCCGATCATATGACTCAGAGTGTCAGGGTGGCTAAAATCCTCCTAAGGACACAGAAGGTTGTAGAGAAATAGTTACTTAACAAAGCAGTATAAGGATAGTGGGTGTATGAAGTGAAAGTGAAAGTCACTGAGTGGTGTCTGACTCTTTGCAACCCCATGGACTGTATAGTCCATGGAATTCTCCAGGCCACATTACTGGAGTGGGTAGCCTTACCCTTCTCCAGGGGATCTTCCCAACCCAGGGATTGAACCCAGGTTTCCCGCATTGCAGGCAGATTCTTTACCAGCTGAGCTATCGGAAGCTGAAGATTATGGAGTTCTTTTGTCATGCCGACTAGTCTTAAAAAAAGAACCTTTCATCTCTTCACTCTCAAGGCACAGCACTTATATTGTGATTCTCTGCCTTTATTGTACATCTAGGGGGCTTTTACAAAGAAGAGCTTCATGGATTTCAGCCATAAATATTCTGGTTAGTAAGTTGTCAGAGCTTCTCAAGCTTCAGTGTGTTGTAAGTCACTGGGGGATCTTGTTAACATACAGGTTTTCATTCAGTAGTTCTGGAATGGGGCTTGAGATGCGAATATCTGGCATTCTCTCAGGTGATGCTGATTTTACTAATAAGGAATTGAAAGGAAGTGACTGTATTTCCGTAAGTTCTTCTATTGTTTCTGGGCTTCCCTGATGGCTCAGTGATAAAGAATCTCCCTACAGTTCAGGAGATGCACGTTTGATCCCTGGATTGGGAAGATCTCCTGCAGGAGGTCATGATAACCCAATCTCGTTTTCTTGCCTGGAAAGTCCCATGGACAGAGGAGCCTGGTGGGCTACAGTTCCTACGGTTGGAAAGAGTCAGACATGACTGCAGCAACTTAGCACACATACATAGCTTCTAATGTGCTGAAAGTGATTAATTACCACCTTTTATGTAAGACGTCTTATACTGTTTTTTAATTGTGGTATAATTAACATGCAATATAATGTGTAGACCTTAAGTATTCAGTTGGATAAGTTGTAACACTTCGTAAAGATCACCCAAAACAAATATTAATGAAAGTATTTTCAGATATGCAGTTGATTATATTGACAGCAATAAGGCTTAATTAGGAACTAAAGTTATGGTTATATATCAAAAGCATGTCCTTTGGCTTAGTTTAAATATTGTCCAACCCATCTATTGAAAAATGTATTTTAACTGATAAAATACACAAGGATAGAATTCAAAAGACACAAGAGATTATGTGGTGAAAAACAAGTTTCCTTCTCACCCATAATTTTTAGCTGCCTAGTTTCTTTTCCCAGTGTATAGATAAACTGATAAGTGATACATATGTATATGTGTATACAGAGTTTACATACAGTATTTATGTATGTGTGTGTACATGTATACATACCCTGTTGTGTATGCACATAGTATACACACACAAACACACCTCTGGAACATGTTTGATTCAGGTGAGTAGAGATAAAAGTTGGTGTGTGTGTCTTCATACTTTTTCTTTAAATACCATAGCATACTGTCTACCCTGTTCAGTGTTTTAGTGACCATTATATTTCAGTATATATATATATAATATAACTAATCCCCTATTAATAGACATTTATAATCCCTTGG